CGATTCAGATGAGAATCCAGTTGTAGAATTCTGCTGTTCTCGCAGTCGTAGTCGCATTCGCGATGACAGTCGCAGCGGCAACGGCAGTCACAGCCTCAGCCTCAGCTTGCCTCAGCCTCAGCCAGCCTCAGCCTCAGCATGCCTCAGCCTCGGCCTCAGCCTGCTTCAGCCTCAGCCTCAATCTGCCTTCAGCCTCGGCCTCAGCCTCAGCCTGCCTCAGCCTCACCCTGCATCAGCCTCAGCCTCAGCCTCAGCCTGCCTCAGCATCAGCCTGCGTCAGCCTCAGCCTCAGCCTGCCTCTGCCTCAGCCTCAGCCTGCTTCAGCCTCAGCCTCAGTCTGCCGTTCAGCCTCGGCCTCAGCCTCAACCTGACTCAGCCTCAGCCTGCCTCAGCCTCAGCCTGCCTCAGCCTCGGCCTCAGCCTCAGCCTGCCTCAGCCTCAGCCTGCCTCAGCCTCAGCCTCAGCCTGCCTCAGCCTCAGCCTCAGCGCTTCAGCCTCAGCCTCAGTCTGCCTGCAGCCTCGGCCTCAGCCTCAGCCTGCCTCAGCCTGAGCCTGCCTCAGCCTCAGCCTCAGCCTCAGCCTGCAGCCTCAGCCTGCCTCCGCCTCAGCCTCAGCCTCAGCCTCAGCCTCAGCCTCAGCCTGCTTCAGCCTCAGCCTCAGTCTGCCTTCAGCCTCGGCCTCAGCCTCAGCCTGCCTCAGCCTCAGCCTGCCTCAGCCTCAGCCTCAGCCTCAGCCTGCCTCAGCATCAGCCTGCCTCAGCCTCAGCCTCAGCCTGCCTCAGCCTCAGCCTCAGCCTGCTTCAGCCTCAGCCTCAGTCTGCCTTCAGCCTCGGCCTCAGCCTCAGCCTGCCTCAGCCTCAGCCTGCATCAGCCTCAGCCTCAGCCTCAGCCTCAGCCTGCCTCAGCATCAGCCTGCCTCAGGCCTCAGCAGCCTCAGCCTCAGCCTGCTCAGAGCCTCAGCCTCACCTGCCTCAGCCTCAGCCTCAGCCTCAGCCTTCTCAGCCTGCAGCCTCAGGCCTCAGCCTGCCTTCAGCCTCAGCCTCAGCCTGCCAGCCTCAGCCTCAGCCCTTCAGCCTCAGCAGCCTCAGCCTGCATCAGCCTCAGCCTCAGCCTCAGCCTCAGCCTCCTCAGCCTCAGCCTCAGCCTGCAGCCTGCAGCCTGCTTCAGCCTCAGCCTGTCTGCCTCAGCCTCAGCCTCAGCCTCAGCCTGCCTCAGCCTCAGGCCTCAGCCTCAGCCTGCTCTCAGCCTCAGCCTCAGCCTCAGCCTCAGCCTCAGCCTGCCTCAGCCTCAGCCTGCCTCAGCCTCAGCCTGCCTCAGCCTCAGCATCAGCCTGCCTCAGCATTCAAAATGTGGCCCGGGAATGGAGTTCTGGGAACTCGAAGAACACGAAGTGGCCTACAGTTGGCTCCGGGCATTCAAAATCATGCCCAGGAATGGAGTTCTGGGAACTCGAAGATCACGAAGTGGCCTACAGTTGGCTCCGGGCATTCAAAATCATGCCCAGGAATGGAGTTCTGGGAACTCGAAGACCACGAAGTGGCCTACAGTTGGCTCCGGGCATTCAAAATCATGCCCAGGAATGGAGTTCTGGGAACTCGAAGACCACGAAGTGGCCTACAGTTGGCTCCGGGCATTCAAAGTCATGCCCAGGAATGGAGTTCTGGGAACTCGAAGAACACGAAGTGGCCTACATTTGGCTCCGGGCATTCAAAATCATGCCCAGGAATGGAGTTCTGGGAACTCGAAGACCACGAAGTGGCCTACAGTTGGCTCCGGGCATTCAAAAACATGCCCAGGAACGGAGTTCTGGGAACTCGAAGAACACGAAGTGGCCTGCTGTTGGCTAAAAAAAGAGTCCCCGGCGTCCTCCCCTGGATCGCGCCCAGACCCCCTTGGGGCGTCATGATGCTCTCTTTTGACCCTACTAGAAACCTATCAGTCTTCGCTGTTAGGTAATAAGAATAAGAGTAAGAATAATAAAGATAGGAATAATAAGTAATGATATGAGTAAAGATGAGAATCATAAGAAGAATCCGAATAATAATAAGAATATGAATAATAAGAAGAAGGATTATACACACAGTAATAAGATGCATTTAAAGTTGTTGATTATATTTTAAACAAAAAACGAATAAGAACAACAGATTTTTCTCATTCATTTCATCACCCTTGTCTTCTACGAGTTGTGTTACCACCCCCGTTGGAACAAAAACATGTTTTTTTCCCGGCCGTCGCGCGGGGTAATGCATCCGAGGATATCGCCCCCGCCACGCACGGCGCGTTATTTTAGCGCCGGACCTGCACAACATGCTTACGACAGCTTGTACAAGAAGACAAACAGTACAATAACTCAAAGAATAAGAATGATCATACAAATAATGATAAGATGAGTAATAATAATGAGGGTACGGATACGAGTATGGATACGAATAAGAGTAAAACATCCAAAACACACGGGCTCCCTGGCTTTGTTCCTCCTTCCCTCTTTGTTTCATGCTCTTTATCATCCTTGTTCTATACGATTATTATTTCCACCCCTATTGAAACATTGTTTTTCCTGGCCGTCGTGTGGGGTAGTGTGCATCCGAGGATGTTGCCCCCGCCACGCACGGCGCGTTATCTTAGCACCCGAACCGTCAAAATTGTTCGCCCCCCATCGTAGGCACGGACGGTTCCTTTTCAAAGTTGGGCTCTCCCTTGCATAGAACTGAATGTTGTTATTGTTGGTGTTGGCAGTTTTGTTGGTGTTTTTGATGTCGTTGTTGGTGTTGTTTGTATCGGCCTTGTTGTTCTAGATATAGTTCTCATTGCTGGTATAATTGTCGTTGTTCGTGTTGGTGCCATGCAGTAAGGGAGTCTTGAGGAGGAGGAGCAGGAGGATGATTTTGTTCTGTTTAGCTGGGCCAAGGCCTCTTGGCTGAGGCCTTGGCCCTCGGTTTGATCCGCAATGGCGAATAAGAGCCAAAATGGCTACGGGGGGGAGAAGGAGGAGGAGTTGGAGGAGGAGGAGGAGGACCCCTGATGAGGAGGAATAGGAGGAGGAGGAGGACCCCTGAGAAGGACGAAGATGAAGGGGAAGAGGACCCCCGCTCGGAAGGCCGAGCGCTGGGAAGACGCGCGGCCGTTCCAGTTCTCGCCCAGGCCGACCACCTGACGCAGACTCGTCTGCGTCCAGAGCAGTTTCTGAGGATGTCTCAGGCGATGCGCTTGTTTCGCAACCACAACGAGACCAGATTGCGAGAATGTCTCAGGCGGCTTGCTTGTTTCGGCGAGCAGATTCGTCTGCGTTCACATAATGGTGCAAGGTGCCAGGGTAACGCTTCTGGGGTGCCCGGTGCATGATACTTTCGCCAGGGAGGGGGGGGGTTCTTAATTGCTTGATTTGCCTTTCGCAACACAGTGATAATTGTATTATATTAGCATTATTTGGGTATTTCGTAGGTTTGGCAGTTTTGCAGAACGGGTAACCTAGGTGTTTTGCAAAACCGATCGTTGTTTCAAAAGTTGTAATTTAAGAATTTTGAAAACGCAGCTGTTTGGCAGCCAGGGGAAATGGCATCCCGACTGTTTTGCAAAATGCGCGTGCCCGCATTCGCCGGCGCCGTATTAAGAGCCTTGGAGGGCCCGGGGAGCCCCAAGATTGGTCTAACATTGCCGCGAGCAGATCCCATGGGCGCCAGAAGGGGCCCGCGCGGGGGCCCAAGACTGCCCCGCGCGCGTTGCGTGACTCGGGGGCGCTCTCGGGGCCCACCGGGGTTTCCCCGCGCCTTCGCACCCCGTCGCGGAGGCCACTGGAGGGCCCCATGAGGCCCAGAGAGCTCCGAAGAGCAAGCCCCCCTCGGGGCCCTATAAGGCGTCTTTGGCCCCCGAAGGCCCCTTCCAGGGCTCCTGGAGGGCCTGGGGAGGGGTCCTCAAGGGGCCTCCCTGCTGTCAAGGACGAGGGCCGCCATCTTGACCGCAGGGGGCCCCTCTCGGGGTCTCTTGGGGCCCTCTCGGGGCCCTGCCTCGCAGGGCCTGTCCAGGTTTGGCGCCGCCAGGTGCGACCGGATCGGCCTGCGCGAGGTTGGGCCCGCTTTCGCGGGGATTCGCGCGCTTCTGTGAGGTTTGTCGCATCAATCGCGCTGTCCTGACATTGTGTTTCAGCATCGGGCTCGGGGCCAAACAGCAAAGTGGCGCGTGCCCGCGTTGATCCTCGCCTGTTCGAAATGCCGCGGGGGCTGGGTTAAAATGGGAGCGCCAAGGAACAATTGTCACTCGCGCGCATGGCCCCGCGATAGAAACCGCGAGAGGGGACTGCTTACTGCTTGAGCATCCGTGCGCTCAGCAATTTTGTGTACCTTGGGCCTGTCGCGCGCTGCGGTGGCCCTGCTTCTGCGGCAACTGACGCCCACTGCGACCCCCCCCCCAAGGATCCAATCAGCGATGCCTTTGGAGGCAAGCGTGCGGATCCACTGGTGGCTAGCGCGTGCCGCGGCTTGCGCGGGGCGCGCGGTCCACCATGCACCCCTTGGCAAGGGCGCTAGTGCGCGAGCCATTGCACAGTCGTCCAAGATTCGGCGCAGACGATCTCTCGTTCATTAGAAGGCAGGACAAAGACATGGCGTCAGCGAGACCAGCGGGTGTTGCCCGAATTTTCGGGCAACGGCGTTGCAACGACCACGGCAATGGCCAGCGCAAACGCCCATCACTCCTGCAACTCACTCCGGGTGCGCGCACGTGCCCAGTTCAAACGCTCACGCAATGCGAAACGCGCGAGCATTCTCCGTATTCCGATGGTTTTGTAATAGGTAATTTGTGTTTTGTAATATAGGTGGCTTGGAAAGGCAGAATCCTGCTGTCTAATGTTCCGCATGTCGGGGGAAAAAGACACATGTTACGCATGTATGGCATATTTCACTCATTTTGCACATATGGCCCTGCGTGGGTCCGCCCGTCAACACAACACTACCGTACCTGTTCCACGGCGGTGGACAATTCTTTCCGGCCAGAAGCCGAGACATC